TCGAGGTTCGAGAAAATCGCTGAACTCCTCTAGAGTAGTTCAGTAGTCTCACTTTTGCAGCATCCCTGTAATACTCCTCAAGAATTACAGTCTTCTGATGTAGCTTTAGAGATAGCGAATTCTGCTACATATACTTCTCAGGAAGTAGGTAAGACTAGCTCCCCAATGTCGAATATTGGGAATCCTAGTGTTCATCAGAGTTTAATTGATCCTCCGAATAATGACATTATGCACATTTTAGCGCTTCCTCCGTGTGATATAGATGTTTTCGAAGGAGATTTTCAATCTTGGCCCACGTTTAGAGACCTTTTTAGCACGGTGTACATAAATAATTCGCGTTTAAGCGATATAGAGCGTCTTTGCCATCTTACGCGCAAAACTAGTGGAGAGGCTCGAGAAATTATCTCGAGATTTCCGTTGACTCACCGCAGTTTCGGTCTTGCGTGGAAAGCTTTAAAAGATAATTATGACAATCCTTGGTTACTTGTCCACAACCAATTTAAAATTCTTTTCGCTTTGCCAATATTACAAACAGAATCCGCATCGGCATTAAAAACCCTACAACGTGGAATTAATGCTTGTTTGTCGTCGATGTCCATCTATGACATCCGTACTGAAAATTGGGACCCATTTTTGGTTTTCTTGTGTCTTCAGCGGTTACCAAAAATTACGCAAACGTTGTGGGAACAAAGCGTAAAAGACAAATCGGCAATATCACTATGGATAGATTTGGATAGCTTCTTGACTGAAAGGATTCGGACTTTAATGTGCTTGCATAATATGAGGGGAAGTGAACAGGCAACAAAATCTGTTGTAAAAAAGGTACAAACACATATGACAAAATCGAAGTCATCGGATAATTTCAAATCCCCCCAAAATAGCTTTTGTATTCTTTGCCCGCAACATAATCATTTGCTTTTTGAATGTCCTCGTTTCAAAAATATGTCGATCTCCACAAGATTTTCTATCGTTAAGCGTCGTCGCCTATGTGTGAATTGTCTCAGAAATGGTCACGAGGTTAAAAATTGTATTAGCAAACATCGGTGTTCTAAATGTGGTAGAACACATCACTCATTGTTGCATAGAACCGATTCTTCGCCTTCTAAATCATCTTCGGCCCCAACCTCTCGTAATAGAAATAGTAATAACGTTGGAAATCGTGCTCCAAGTTCTTCGGTCGATCCAGCAGTTCCTGCTACATCGACCAATGGTAATTCCCGACAAGTATTTCACGCGGCACAAAATAAATCTGTGCTTTTAGGAACCGCAATGGTGAACTTAATTCATTGTGGAATTTCTTACCCAGCTAGGGCGTTGATAGACCCTGCTTCTGAATCGTCCTTTTTATCTGAGCGGCTCCAGAACCGTCTAAAACTTCCAATTTCTTCAACCAATATTAGTATTTCGGGCGTTAATTGTGCAATTTCGGCACATTCACGCAAAGTTTGTTCGATAAAAATTGGAAGTCCTTGTAATTCATCGGTCTTGTTGAAAACTAATGCTTTAGTATTGCCACTTCTTTCTGGAAATTTACCTTCGTTCACCGTCTCATCAGATTTTAGGTCGCATATTCCCAATATTCGTTTGGCTGACATTAATTTATTCGATTCACGTCCAGTAGATCTGCTGCTTGGGGCAGATTTATACCCTAAAATCTTGTTGGAAGGTTGTCGTTCTATTGTGTCCGGATCGTTGTTAGCACAAAATACAGTTTTCGGTTGGTTTGTCACTGGGCCGATTCCATCGTCGGTAATTCAAACCTTTGCTACCACAATAAATGTTGAAGAAGAGGATTCGCTTAACAAAACTTTGCTTCGATTCTGGGAGTTAGAAGAGCTTCCTAAACGAAAAATGTTGTCCCCCTCTGATCGTCTTTGTGAGGAAAACTATGTCCGAACTACGCATAGATTATCTGACGGTAGATACATGGTAACCTTGCCCATACGAACTGACTTAGATGCAGATAGGTATTTAGGAGAATCTCGAGGTAATGTCCTTAAGCAGTTCATTCGGAATGAAGCATCTCTTTTGAAAAAACCGGAGGTTAAAGTTACGTACGAGCAAGTTTTGACTGAATATTTAGAACTCGATCATATGAAGTCAGTTTCTGCTGACAGTCTTGACAGCCTCTCTTGTTATTTGCCTCATCATCCGGTAATTAACCCCGAAAAGCAGACAACTAAACTTCGTGTTGTCTTCAATGCTTCGAATAAAACTTCTAATGTGAATAGTTTAAACGATATTTTACATGTTGGACCCACTTTACAACTCGATCTTGTTCTTCTGATACTTCGTTGGCGAGTATTCAAATTCGTGTTTAACTCGGACATAACCCAAATGTATCGGCAGATACGAGTAGACCCTCGCCACACTCCGCTTCAAAAAATTCTCCATAGGGACTCGCTAACAAAGCCAATTCAAGATTTTGAATTGCAAACTGTGACTTTTGGCTTGAATTGCGCTCCATACTTAGCTATTAGAGCTCTTTTGCAACTCGCGGAGGAAACAGAAAATGAATTCCCTTTGGCAGCGCACATATTGCGAAAATCCATGTATGTGGATGATGTTTTGGCCGGTGCTCATGATCTTGAGATAGCGGTAACAGCTAGGGATCAACTTATTTCGGCACTTTCATCGGCGAAGTTTGAGCTTAGAAAATGGACCGCCAATGATAAAAATATTTTGAACTGTTTCCCCCCAGAACATTTGGTAGATGCGCAATTGTTGTCATTTGTAGAAGCTAGTAGTTCTAAACCTCTTGGTATAAGGTGGAATGCTAGGTTAGATTCGTTTTATTTTGATGTCAAGTCTATAGAGAAAAAATCGAGTTATACAAAGAGGGAAGTTCTTTCGGCAATAGCTAAGTTGTTTGACCCTGTCGGCTGGTTAGGCCCAGTTATTGTCACGGCAAAAATTATTATGCAAAAGGTCTGGTTAGATCAAATCGGTTGGGACGACCCCCTTGTAGAAACTACTTACTCGGAATGGCGTAAATTTGTTGAATCCTACCATGAAGTCAATCGAATACAAATTCCTCGTTGGGTCCAATATACCCCCCAATGTTCGGCGGAACAACACGTGTTTTCAGATGCCTCGATTAAGGCATACGTGGGGGTAGTATATATTCGAGTTGAAGTGCCAGGTCAAAATGTGTTCGTGCATTTATTGTCTAGTAAGACCAAAGTGGCCCCAATAAAATCAATATCACTTCCTCGCTTAGAGCTTTGTGGCGCAGTCTTAGCTTCGGAACTTTTGAAAGTTATAGTGAGGGAGATCGACATAAAATTTCGTCAAGTATATTGTTGGACGGATTCTACTATTGTTTTATCATGGCTTCGAAAAACACCTACAACTTGGACTACATTTGTTGCCAATAGGGTCGGCAGTATTCAAGAAAATGTTGGCAACCATAATTGGTATCACGTTCGGTCAGAAGATAATCCTGCGGACCTTGGAAGTCGAGGTGTAACCCCTGCAGAGTTAGCTTCTAGCTCTCTTTGGCATGGGCCAGACTGGCTCAGCCAAGATAAATCGAGTTGGTCTATTCGAGATTTAACTCCGCTTGAGACTGACATAGAAATGCGTTCGGTGAAGTGTCATTTCTCATTCTTTTCGTCAACCTTTACAGATATTTGGGACAGATATTCGTCATTTGTAAAAGGTATTCGGGCTGTCATGCTTACATGCTTAGATTTTTGCGTCAAACACATTCTCGGTATCGAGGTAAATATTATTACTCTCAGAAAAAGATTACAACTTCGGAATTTAATGAGGTTCGCTTACGGTTGATAGTTATCACTCAAAAGGTCCACTTCGCTAAAGAGTACAAGGATTTGATGGATAAAAAACCCGTAGCACACTCGAGTCATTTAGTTCCACTTAATCCAATGCTTGTGGAAAATGGTGTCATGTGCATGAATGGTCGTTTGGCGCGGTCACCCCCACTTTCACCCTCAGAACGTTGTCCAATAATTCTGCCATATAAAAGTAGGTTCGCTAGACTTTTGGTGGAATATATTCACGTCAAGAGTGTTCACGGATGAACACAGCTGATGCTTCGTATCTTGAGAATGGAATACTGGATTCCCAGAGTAAAACAATTGATTCGCTTTGTCATTCGTCATTGTAAGGTATGCATTTTAGATAAAAAGAAACACTGTAGTAAAATGATGGCCGCTCTTCCCCCGGAAAGAACAATTATCGATAGGGCGTTTACTACAACTGGTGTGGACTTTGCTGGTCCCTTAGAGATAAAATCGTTTTGGGGTCGGGCTTGCAAAATTACAAAAGGATATGTTTGTGTATTCGTTTGCTTCTCGACCAAGGCTATTCATTTGGAGGCAGTATCGGATTTGTCCACTGCCAATTTTATAGCCGCATTACATCGCTTTATAGCGCGTCGAGGTTGTCCAGGTACTATATTTTCGGACAATGGCACAAATTTCGTAGGAGCTTCACGTGAAATTGACCGGAATTATCGTCGTTTCATTCGTGAAAGTTGTGATTCAGCATCAGAGGCTCTTGTTCAACAGGGTGTCGTATGGAAATACATTCCAGCTGGTGCACCACATATGGGTGGTCTATGGGAAGCTGGAGTGAAAAGTTTTAAGCAACATTTCCGAAAACATTGTCGAAATCTTCGGTTTACCTTTGAAGAAATGGCGACAGTATTAGCTCGCATAGAGGCTTGTTTGAATTCGCGGCCGCTTTGTCCTATGTCAGACGATCCGGGTGAATTAGTTTCCTTAACACCCGGTCACTTTCTTATTGGTGCGCCTTTACTAGCTCCTCCCGAACCCATGGTTAATGAATCACCGATCTCGCTCGTGAATCGGTTTAGAAAAGTCCAAGCGCTTGCTCATCAATTTTGTATCAGATGGAAGGAGGAATATCTAAAAAATTTGAATATGCGGTACAAGTGGAAGTACCCTGAAAGGGAAGTAGATAGGGGTGATTTAGTCGTCGTTCGACAAGAAAATCTACCACCGACCTCATGGAAGTTAGGTCGTGTCATAAATGTTTATCCCGGTGTAGACGGACATGTTCGTGTCGTGGACGTTCGTACGACAAATGGCGTTGTAAAGCGGCCGATAGCTAAGTTGGTCATTCTGACCGACCAATCGGCGAATGAAGAAAACTAAATCATTTTTTCTTCTTAGTATAATGGATGCCACCAATATGTTTGAAATCGAACTCCTCTCGAAGATCGACACCGTATTAGAGAGAGCGGACGAGATATCTGGTACCAAAAGGCGTACTACATCCGAAGCTGTTGAGGAACTGGTTAAACCTATTGCGGCCGTAAAATTGTCGGAGTCGGTAACAGAATCCGTAACTGCGGATTCAGCGCCGTTGCCTACCTCCCAATTATTGGAATCCGTAACTGCGGATCCAGCCCGCGGAAAACCATCAGAATCCGTAACTGCGGGTTCATACGTATTGCCGTATATCGCGGAATTTGCATCTGGGGGGCCAGACCCCATAACTGTGGGATCTGTAGTCGTATCGTCAGCTCGGGCAAATCCATCAGAGTCCGTAACTGCGGGCTCCCCGGGCACATCAATCGTGAATCGTAACGGGTGTCGGGTTTGCACTCGCCGGCATGCTCTTGGTACATGCAAAGAATTTGTTGCTATGTCTGTAGAAGCCCGTATACAGGTTGTCATAACACATCGGGACTGCACACGATGTCTCACAAAAGGACACCAACGGAGGGAGTGCCATAGTAAGAAGGTCTGCTATAGATGTGGAGGTGATCATCACTACCTGTTGCACGATGATCCTAAGGATCACCATTATTCGTCCCGGAGTCGAAAAACTACAAGACCCCGTCCGTACCCAAGTTCCGAGTCTCGTCCGAACGTCAGGTCTGGTTCACATCCGTCCGTACATACCACACCGGCTGGTTATCACACTGCTTCTCCCCTTAACCTATTATCTCTACAATCGGTGGCGACACTATCACCAAGTTTAGTGGTGAGAATTCATTGTGTCGGACCATCATACCCAGTTCGGTCAGTGTTAGACCCATGCGCTATCCAAAGTCAAATATGTGCCTCAATGGTTGACCACTTAAGACTACCAACCTCCAATTTGGATGGAGTTCGTTTTTGCCGATTTTCGGCCACTTCAGTTTATGATCCGACACAGTCGATCATTGTTTCGGCTCGAGTGACAGATCTTCGCCACGTTTTCACGCCAACTGAAGGAGTCGTTCCTAGGTTTACCCCTAGCAGATCCCTCCTTTTACCGACCAAGTCGTGTTGCTTTAGTCCTAGGTCATGATGTGTATGCTAAAGTCATCACCAGTCGAGTGCAAGTCTCTCCAGGATTGCCTATCGCCCATTATACAATATTTGGATGGGTGTTTGTTACACGTAACCGTAGTATATGTTATTGAATTTGAAAATATTGAAAAAATAAAATTGAATTGAAATTAACAGCTCACAACTGCACTGTCCTCCTTTCCTTTGGTATCAACATTTGTTATATATTAATATATCTGTAAAATGTTATTATGTTGGTTGTGTTACAACATTTATAATGTTGCAAGGGGGTGGCCAATGTTTAATTTAGAATCGTAAATTCATTAATTTCCATTGTCGTCTCCACATTCATTGTGTTTGAGACTTTATCGAATGCTATACTCGTTACAATCTGCATATTCCTTTTTGTTACAACATTGAACTGTCAAATGCAGATTCTAACGAGTATAAATTTGCCGCCGACGCCTCTTTTCGACATTATAAAAGGTCACTCTTGTTCTCGCTGCCAAACCAACCAACAGGTAATCTGTCCTACACCTTTTTCTAATTTATTAATTTATCCCAATAAATCTACCATACTTTTTTTGAATTTAAATTTAAAACGTTCGTGTTTTTATTTTATTTATTTTTACACGCAATTTCGGCGGTAACAGGTATTATCCAATTTCCTCAAAATTAGCTGAACTAGCAAAGTATCCCACGACGATGTGTCAATATCCAGATTGTTCAGAGCTAACATACGATCTCATGTAGTTTAGTGCTAACACACAAATTCGTGTAATGCCGTAGATGAGACCCCTTTTTGTTGATTCAGAATCCGCTCTACCAGTGTGAAAACAAGAACCCGTTTATTGTTGTAACGTTTTTTTTTTAGATCGTTCCCAACGCCTCACTTTCCCGCCCCTGCCGACGGAGAGGGCCACCTCCTCTCCTCTCAGAGCAAACAAAATAAATTGAACCTGTAAAGACTCTATCTTTTTTGAATATATTTTATTGAAAGGGCTCCAACGTATGGCTCCAGCCATATTCTAAAGTAGGTCGAACAAGGCTGATAAATAAGCGTTTGGTCACATAAGGATCGTCGAATTCCTTTCTTTCGCTTTATAAACCCTAGTAAAGACATTGCTTTATTAACACAAGACTCTATATATAAATTAAAACGTAATTTATTGTCTAATATGACACCAAGATCAAGAAACGAGTCAACATTATCCAATTTGTAAGAACCTATGAAATAGTTGTAGTTCATATGCTGAGATTTATACAAGGACAATTTTTTACAGTACAATTACAATTACAATTTTTTATAGTACCTCCCGACATTTTGATGATTTTAGCAACTTTATTCACCGGAATTGTTTCAACTTTGGTATTTGAAGTTCGACAGAAAATTGTCCGTGCAGTTCCACGTCCATACAACGCCCCCATACAACGGTACCTCCCGATATTCGGTATTTTTTATGATCTTAGCGACATTATTCATCGGAATTGTTTCAAATTTGATATTTGAAGTTCGAAATGGATACTACAACCTAAGACAGAAAATTGTCTGTGCAGGTCCACGTCTTCGTATAGCCCCCATATAACGGTACCTCCCGATATTCGGTATTTTAATAATTTTAGCGACATTATTCACCGGAATTGTTGTGAGAATTAGAGTGCAGAAAAGTTTAACATCGTCAGCAAACATTAATATTTTTGAGTTTCGAATAATAGATGCAAGGTCATTTAAATAAAGTACAAAAAGTAGTGGACCTAAATGACTACCCTGAGGAACACCTGAAAATACTGTAATATTTTTAGAGAGAGTATTATTAAAAGATACCTTTTGGGTACGGTCATGCAAATAATACGATATCCATTTTAGGAGAATTGTAGAGAAACCCATTATGTCAAGTTTATATATTAACAAATTATGGACCACCGTATCGAAAGCTTTACTGAAATCAGTATATATTATATCAGTTTGGAGATCTTTTGAGAATCCAGTGTGAACATTAAAGACCAGTTCTAATAAATTTGTCAAGTTGTTGTGATACTATAGATATAACGAAATGAGTTATTCGTTGTGTAACTAAACGTTCAAAAAGTTTGGGAATTGCACTTAGTTTTGCAATGCCCCTATAATATTCAATAACACATCTACTGTCAGCTTTATGCAATGGAATAATAAAGCTCGAACGCCAAATAAAAGGAAAATACCCTAGGTTTAAGAAGTATTAAAAATACTTGTTAGAGGAAGATATAGTTCATGTGAACGTGCTTTTCAAATAAAAGACGGTTCACCATCTGGACACGCTGAATTGGAACATTTCAATGAAGGTAGACCATTCAACACTTCATCTGATGTGAGAATAATACAAAGAAACGGATTAAGTTCATTAATACTGTAAGAGGATTTTACACCCTTAGTGGAATATCTGGAATACGTACTTTGAAAAAAAAATCTGCAAACATGTCTGCTATTTCCTTAGGTTCACATGATTCTCTACTACCGAATCGCATACTACTGGGAAATTCACGGACTTATTGACGAATTTATAAAAGTTCTTAGGATTTTTATAGAGGCTGTTTCTCATCTTGACTGGGTTTTAAGAATAACATTTAGAATTTTCAGTGTTGTATAAACTTCTAGCTTTTGTATAATTAGTAAAGCTTATGGTAGAATTGTTTTTTTTATTTTAATTTTTTAAATAACCTGCTTTTATGTTTCGTAAGCGCCTACGTTGAAGGCTAAACCAAACTGGAGCCATATCACAGCACATTTTCACAAGTGGGACTGAGGTTTCTAATGCATTATTAATTATTTTATAAAAGCTTGAAATACGAAAATAAAAATTACCTTCATAAAAATAAAAAATAAAAATTACCTTCAAAACACCAATTTATATCGGATAATGTAGAACGCAGCAGATCAACGTTAGTCTTGCCAAAATTTAACTTACGCGACTTATTTTGAGACGAAGTATGTACTGTTTGAATGTTACTAAGTTCAATGGCTACCATAAGAGTAGGATGATACATATCCTCTGGTTCCGAGAAAGGAGTGCTTCTGCACACAGAAGAAGTTAAGGATGAAGAAAAAATTAAATATAATATTTTACATTTCGCATTATAGATAGAATTTATTTCATAAAGACATTGCTCAAATATGATTTCCCAAAAAGATGACATCTCAGTAGAAAGTTCTGTAGAAGATACTGGTACATAATCTACAATATTTTCTGCTGGTACCCATGCTAGATTAGACAGGTTGAAATCCCCCAGACGAATGATTTCCGCGTTCGAGAAATGATATAAAAAGACCTCTTTTATTAAGGCTGAATGCATAAGATAAATATCAATGTCTGAATTTGGAGAAATATATGAACAAGTTATAATAAAATTACAATTTAGATATTTTAATTTAACACAAGCAAATTCAAGGGTGTTCTGCTACCAAAATACGTTCTGAGGCAATGGCATTATGAACGGCAATGAAAAATCCTCCACCCATTTTATTTAATCTGTCTTTTCTGTAAATTTGGTACTGATCAGATAAAATCTCAGTGTCACGAATTTGTGGTTTTAACCATGTTTCCATGAATGCCAAAATTGAATGTTTTCCTTCCTTAGAATTTGCTCATCACTTGCGTAAATGAAACTTTTTGTGTTCCCACAAAGTGAGTGATGTCGGATTCTAACGAATAACTAAGTGTTTCCGCCACTTTGCAACACCGCGCGTACTCGTCGTTTTTAACTTGTTCTTTACATTTACTTGGCTTTGGATTTTCGTCCGCAACAAACCACCACCAATTGTAAAAAAAGGTAATAATATTGTTTTTCCGAACACATCACAAAAATCATAAACGCTGCCTATCATCATCCCTTATCATCATATAATTCATACAATATTAAGGTGTGTAATGTCAACATAAAAGTGAGCAACCGCGAGTGTTTTTTTTTTTTTTTTTTGGTATTATTTAAAAGGAAAATTTACCAGTATTTTAAATTTTAACATACGTTTGTCTTGTAGCCACGGCGCTTTGTATTTGTTGTTATTCTCTTCGAGAATAATTACAATTCATATTCTCGGTTACGAAAAATAATAGTAATCGAAAAATGCAGTGAATCCTTTAAAAATTGTTGGTGCCATTATATTCTGTTTAAACAATTTAAATTGTTAGTGTTCTTTAATCCATCGTCCGGTTAAGGACAAAAAAAAGTAAAAAAGCTGTAAATTCGGCCGGGCCGAATTTTGAATACCCTTCGCCATTTGGAACGAATTTGGCAATTCTCAAAAACAATAAAATCTGATAAAAATTTTGTTAAGATCTTAAAAATACTGAATGTAGCTCTTCTATTGGGGTCTATACAAACCTGCATAAGTAACATTTGCCATAAGCCATTGCAATATTCAAATGCGAAACTGAAAAACAATCGGTCATAATGTCGATAAAATCAAAATACCGAATATCGGGAAGTACCGTTATATGAGGGCTCTACGAAGACGTGGACCCGCACAGAAACAATTCCGGTGAATAATGTCGCTAAAATTATCAAAATACAGAATATCGAGAGGTACCCTTACATGAGGGCTATACTCTTTATAAGCGTATAAAAGCATTCTGGTGAGCATTCTCCAGAAAAAAAGTTATTAGTGATTTAATTCAAGCGTGATAGTATCATTTCTTTATATTTGGCTGGAAAAACACAAGTGGCTATCGTTAGAACAATCCAGCATTTAAATGTGAATAAATCTTTTGTGTCTCGAACCATCTTTCGTTACCGTGATACCGGTAGCGTAGCCCGACGTCG